CCTTCATTGACGATTATTCCAGATACACTTGGGTATATCCAATGCGAACCCGTGAGGAAGTACCAAAAATTATCCAAGATTCTCAGCGGATGGTCTTCACCCAATTTCAGACCGAGATTCAAATATTTCAGTCAGACAATGCAAAAGAGTTTTTTCATAGTGACCTCACGGAGTTCTTTGCTTCACATGGTTCACTTCATTGGAGCTCTTGTGTCCGCATGCCACAACAAAATGGTGTGGCTGAACGGAAAAACTGACACCTCCTTGAAATGGCACGGGGTCTATTACTCCATATGAATGTTCCCAAACGATTTTGGCTTGAGGCTGTCCTTTGTTCTACATACCTCATTAATCGAATGCCCTCTCGTTGGTTAGAGTACAAAGCCTTACATCAGCTTCACTTTCCTAAGGCCCCTCTTCTTTCTATCCCTCGTGTTTTTGGTTGTCGGTGCTTTGTCCAAAACCTATCTCCCATCCGAGGGAAATTGGACTTTCGTGCTATCCCGTGCATATTTCTTGGCTACACATTCTCTCAGAAAGGGTATCGTTGCTTTGATCCTTTTTCTCGGAGATTCTATGTCTCCATGGATGTTACCTTCTTTGAAGATGAACCCTTCTTTCTTGTTTCTCCTCAGGGGGAGTGTAGRCATGAGGAGAAACTGGTTTAGCTTCCTCCTCTTCCTAATCTTTCTCCTCCTTCCCCTTCTCCTTCTGATCCTCCATCTTTCCGTGTTTTTTCTCGTCGTCGTAAAGGCCAACCAGGTTCAAGAGCTGTGGAGAATCCAGAAGCAGTACCTCAAGTGCCATCAAATTCCTCGGGGGAAGATCATACTCACTCAGGTAACTTGACTCCCAATGATGGTCCGGACCTCCCTGTTGCTAATGATCTTGACCTTCCTATTGCCCACAGGAAAGGTGTTAGGTCGTGCACCACTAAACACCCCATTTCCATCTTTGTTTCCTATGAGAACCTATCACCTTCATTTCGTGCCTTCCTTACCTCCATTGACAATATCCCTATTCCCAAGAATGTGGCAGAAGCTCTCTCAGTACCAGAATGGACAAATGCCATGAAGGAAGAAATTGATGCTCTTCACAAGAATGGCACGTGAGAACTTGTTGATCTCCCTAAGGGAAAGAAACCAGTTGGATGTAAATGGGTGTTGATTATGGAACCGTGGAGAGGTATAAAGCTTGTTTAGTGGCAAAGGGTTTTACTCAAGTATATGGAGTTGATTATGCAGAAACCTTTGCCTCTATTGCCAAAATGAACTCTATTAGAGTACTTTGCTCTCTTGCTGCCAATCTGAATCGGGATCTACATCAGCTCGACATCAAGAATGCCTTCTTGAATGGTGACCTTGAAGAGGAAGTTTATATGGTTTAACCCCCCGGTTTTCTAGCTCAAGGAAATGAACAGAAAGTGTGCAAGTTAAAGAAGTCTTTATATGGGCTGAAGCAATCACCAAGAGCTTGGTTCAGTAGGTTTCATACTGCAGTTCAGCAGAGGGGATACAAGCAATGTCAGTTAGATCACACACTGTTTGTAAAAAGGGGAGAA